CGTTTTGGAACACTTTCATTAACCACTCCCCAAAAATCTACATCACGTATAATAGTTAAACAAACTGCCTAAATGTCACATTAGTATAGCCTATATATAATGTATAAAGTTTAGTATACTCTAACCCCTTATAGTGATGGCACACAACGAGACACACAATCGGCATGTAATGCTGTTTGAATACAAGAACGGAAACAATGCCTCTGTAGCCACAAACAATATGAAAGAAGTTTATGGAAATGTTTTGAACATTTGTAAACATCAATGATGGTTCAGCAAATTTCGTTCAGTTGACTTTAGCCTTAATAACGGTGATGGCAGGGGCCGACAAATATTAGAATTGTATTTGAAGCTCTGAAGACGTTTGTTGAGTCTAATCCAAGGCAACCCTCTCATGAAATGGCCCTGAAATTGCATGTCTTTCACAAAACAATATGTAAACATTTAAGGAATATTGGAAAACTCCATAAAGAAGGTGTTTGGTTACCTAACGAACTCTACGATGATTATCGTCTCCAACATCATTGTTTCGTCTCTTCTGGTGCGAAATTTGCATAAACCATTTTTGGACAGAATTGTCACCAGTGATGAACTATGGATTCTCTATGCAAATATTAAATGCCAAAAACAATGGCTCAATCCTAGACAAAAACCACTTCTGACTCCCAAAACCTGGACTCTATCTGCAGAAAGTTATGCTTTGCATTTGGTGGGACATCAAAGGAGTAATTCATTTTGACCTCCTCAATCCAAAGAGAACTGTCAATGTAGAGATCTATAGTCAGCAACTGGAAAGTTTAAATCAAGCCCTTTGTCAGAAATGCCCTTCACTCATCAATCGGAAAGGTGTTCTTTTTCTCCATGACAATGCATGGCCACATGTGGCACATTTGACGCATCACAAGATTATGGAGTTGGGTTGGAAAGTTCTCTCCCATCTCCCATATTCTCCACATATGGCACCATCAGATCACCATCTTTTTTGTTTGTTGCAACACCATCTTAACGAGAAAACATATGCAAATGTGGAAGGAGTTAAAGAGGACATCGACATGTTTTGTGTTTCAAAGTCAAGTGATTTCTTTAATTAGGACATTAACAACCTGATTGTAAGATGGAAAAGCATCATCGATAAGAATGGAGACTATTTCATTTAATAAATGTTTTTATACATAAGTTGTTTGGGTTTTTTCATCTAGAAAAAAGCAACATTAATTTCTTGATGACCTAACAGTTATGATCAAAGCATTCATGCAAAAAATTTCACAACTGTGACCTTGATCATGGTATCCTATATATAGGGGTGGATTAAAGGTCAGACAGCCCTGGGGCTAAATTTTTCTACTAAGCCTATTATGATCATGATTACAGACTGATTTAAAAACTAAACCTCATAATGGGCTTTTTTAAGACCAGGCCTGGGGCTACAGCCCAAATAGCCCCTGCTTTAATCTGCTCATCTAAAGTGACTAAAGCAATCATGTAGAGAATTTCACAATTGTGACCTCAGTCATGGTATTTCACATGCTATTGATTTATACCTTATCACCTGTACTGACGAGGTAGCAGCCTAAAAAAGATATAAACCTTTTAATCAAAAATAAGTCATTTGATTGGATGCACCACATTTCTTTTAAGAAAAAATCTTATATGATTATATGTCTCTGCCGAAGAATAACAAACACTTTTTTTAATTAATATAATATAAGAGTTGAATCATGTTTATTATCTAGCATATACTGCTGAATAAATCAAAAGATAATAAATATGCTTGATTACCACAGAAATCTGCATTTCAATAGCTATGCCTCAGGCTACCATGAAGAAAAGTCTAGTCACATACATTTTGAAAACTCATCCAAAGTTATCTCTTGGTTACTACATTATGATATTTAATAAAAAAACACAAACAACCAAAAAAAATAAATAAATCACAATTCAAGGAACCTGGTGCTCTCTGATGGGAGTCCTTATTTCTTCAGGGAAAAATTGAAAATCACAAGTTTTTATTAACTGTACGTGTAGTAAGTTATAAACCATGTACCTATTAGTTTTACTGAAGAAAGAAAAGTTCTGAAGGCACATTATTTATTGCAGAAAGTAACAAAGTAAAATAAGAAATAAGATAAAGAAGTGGGAAAAATATGTTTGTATATTAAGTTATGATAATTTTCCCTCTTCATTAACCTTCTAAATGGCAAGCTCTAAAATTGATATGATGGTGCAACTAATGGCTGAAAAACTACTTCTTAATGGGATAAAGAACTGAACATGGATTCCTATCATTAGCCCCTCCAATGCAGAGTTATGTTATTCTGATAATGTTAGTATTTGCTAAAAAAACACTGAAATGTTAATAAGCTTACTTATCTAGTGAGTTCTTTTTCAGCTGTACAATAACTGCATAAATTTTTACTTATTTTCAAAACTCTTGGTTTATAATTGCATTAAAATAAAAAAGCACACAAAATGCATACTGTTCATTGAGCTATTAATATAACATGAGTGCTTAATCTTTCCATTATAACATTTAAGGATGTCCTGATGAAAAATATTTACTGTCTGCCATAATAGAAAATAGGATAGACTATATCTGAAAACAACCATGGCATTTAATGAAATTTTGATCATTTTTCTATACTCTACAAAAGGAAAGGAAAGCCTAATGCAGTAGATTAATAAAGCCTATAACTGTACTGTCCTAATCTTACAGCTTCAATCTGAAACTACACTTACACAATCTCCCAATGCTGGAGTGCTTGTATGTCTGGATAACTCTCTGCAAAAGAAAAAAGTTAATATGCTTTACAAAAAACAGTGAGGAAAAAACTTTCTGAAAATTCAGTATTATGTTATGATTGAAGAAACACATCAACAATTTTAATAGTTACCTGTTTTTCCAACTAGCATTCTTCAATACATAAAAATTGCTACTTAGAAATGTCCTATAAACAATAAGTTTACTAACATTACTTAGCACTTTTGCAGTAGGTCAATAAGGAGTTATTATTTGTATTGACAATGTTATCTTTCCCATAACAGATTGACCAAGCTAGCCAACTGAATAATTTCAGAAATAATGTCTTGAAGAACATTTTCTTTAATTCAAACTTGTTCATCCTATGTGAAAATCTCTCAAACATCATGCTATTTACAATGAAATGCTTGCTTTGTTGGTTAAAATATTCACAATGACATAACATCATAAATTCAATAAGAAGTATGCTGTACTAGTAGGTGTATTTCTACTAGCCAGTACATTCAAATAATTTGTAGTTTAACACATAATCTGACAGATGACTCCACAGTTTGTTTTGATAAAAATACAAAATATGGTATACATAGTTTAAGTAAAACCTGCTAATTGGTACACGCCACTCTTGGAAAACTCACTGATGAGACTAACACAGAATCTAATACAGGTGTGTTTGTTTGTTGACTTCAGAATTCAGAAGGCAATTCGTTTTAGTGAGAGATGGTCAATACATTTTTGGACTGTAGGGGCTTAATTTTTAAGAGATGCAAACTAACTTACCATTAGAAATTTGATGTTTCTTAGCTCATTAAAAATTGTGTATGCAGTTGATACAATGTGCAATAAAATGATTTATAGTATTTTCCTTCAAATGTTTTGCTTGGAGTTTGTACAGATCCTTTAAAATCTGTGAGGTGAATTTCCAGAACCTGAATGTTCTTGAGAAATCATAATTCATCAAGAGTGCTGAAAAAGTACAATGTCTTGAACATAACATTTTTACTCATAAATATTAAACATCAGCTATCTGAAACAAGCTATGTTTAATAAATTTTTCAATAATTCTGCTTTTCGTTTAGAAATTTGTCTGAAATTATTCCCATTTTTATAACTTCTCTTTGTTGAATCAAGTTTTAAAATGATATTTTCAAAATACCCCCCACCACATCCCATTTAGCTAAGCTAAGTCCACAAAATTATTTTTATAGGCCTATGACTAGGCTTATGTAATGTGTGATATTTGATAGAGATTAATATTTCAATAATACTTACCCCATATGTTAAAATCTATAGTAGGCCTGGAAAGTGATTGTCAGTAAATATTATAAACTTAATATATACTTTTTATTTTATTTTATTGTTTGGATCTTCACCCCAAGGAAGACAAGTAAAACTAAGTGTCAATCCAAGTGTGTTCAGCTGGTTGAAGACAATCACACCACAGTCCATGAGAAGAATGGAGTGAGCACTGAAAAAGGGTAAAACACTTCAACCAGCCAGTAGTTGACACACCCAAGGAAACTATCCTAGCCCTAGGCCTATAAAATGTCAGTGACAGTGCCAAATACACATATTTAAATGTGAACAAAACTTAATCATTATCATTATCTTCATTCAATAGCTAGAATTATACCATTTTATTCAGGTAATTAGAACAAGGTTTCTACCAACATATTGAAACTATGCTTGTTTTCATGTAACAAAACAACAGTCTGACACACTATTATTGCTCATATTATTTTGTTTACCTGTCGATCAAATTGGCTTTCCAGCCAGTAGTTTTAGCTCCACTGCATTTAACTTCTGTTTTAATCTTGTTAAGATTCCAATTTTGACATTTCTCACTAATTTTAGTGGAATTGGTAGAATAAATATCAGAAATATAAGTGAAATTCATGTACCACTCAAACAGGTTTACTGACTGACCAAGTGCTGAATTGTGAAGCATGCCTTCCCAGTGTTGGGACCGCATCAATACTGGTGCCACTGTGTATTAGCAGTTTTGCACATGATCTCTTAATGTTTGGAGACCAGTGAAATAACATTCACTGTGATAAAAAAATAATAATGAGAAAACAAGAATAAAATAGATATCTAAAAGTTAAAATAACCAATATAAAATAACACAACTGAGACTGATTTGAATAAATCTAAGACTGAGGAAAAAAAAGAAGTATAGCACACATCTCTATTTATGTTTTAACTTGTTACTTATAATCCAAGTCAGAGTGGTGCCAAGAAAAATAGTAAATGGTACATACTGAAATAATTGTCATCAAATATTTTAACATTTATATGGCATACAGTTTACATTACAACTAGAAGTGTATGTAATATGACTTCATCAGTTTATAAAAGATTGAGTTTTAGTGAGTTGACAATATATGAATTTTAGTTTACAACAATTACAGTAATTTTACCAGCTTTAACACATATGGGTGTAGACTTATAGAGTTCAAAATCCATGTTTCAATTAACCATGATGGTTATCATATTTATTTCATCCAGTGACATTGCAAAGAGTGTCTACTGGTAAATTTTGTTGCTCAGTATTCTGCATTAGTAAGGCCATTAGTTCTAGTATTTTTAAAACGAACTTCAAATAGGAACTCCAGCTTACTGTAATATTCCCATTTAATAATTATTCAGTAGATACAATAAACTTCCTAGAATACTTGTGCTTTTGATAAATCAGACATCAATAAAGTTTTTATGTTTTTGGTTCTCAGAAAATAGATAACTACATTCCAGAAATTCCTTGACAAGTCCTGGAATTTTGTGATTACTCAAGTATGTAAAACCTGTGTAAAACAGATTTGGACTACGACTTTTTTGGCTAGTGCCCATTTTCTTAAAATTAACCCCTGAAAAAACAACAGAAATTCAGATTTACTTACTGTGGGTGGACTCCTACTAGTCGGTACACTTCGGACCTGAAGAATTCCTTGTTAGCAAAATACAACGAAGACCCAAAATGGCAGATCCTTATTCCTGGAATAAGCCTAGCCTAACAAAAAACATCCGAAGTTATCAACATTGAATGGAGTATTCCATTCTTAGTGAACAGTGAGAATTATAATGTTAAGTCCTGAACACAAGTTTTAAATTTTACAGGGAATGCATTATCATAAAAGGACAATAATTGTAAAAATTTATAAATATGTTTTTTTCTTCTTCTATTTAAAACTTTAAGCTCCATTTTACCCCTACACATTTGCTAGCTATATGTGACTGTTTGGAAATACATCATATAAAAACAATCTTTATTCAAGCTTTTTTTTTAATAAGCTATGCCTTTTAATTAAATTTAGAAGGCATAGCTTCTTTAAAAAAACATACCACAACACAAAGCACTTTACATTCTTGTTTTATATAAAATATAATAGCAGTATCATTTGTCTGGATTAAGAAGCAGTTCCTATACAGGCTGTGTCTGCTATATAATTTAGCTAAGTTCAAAAAGCTGCCCCCACATAAATGTAAATACTTACCATTGAACTTATTTACATACTGTAAATCATTTACCTGAGTCAACATTTCAAATATCTTTTTGTTATTACACTTGTATTCAAGCAATATTGTTTGAAACAATTAATTTTGATTTAACACATTCTTCACGTAAATTTTATTCTTCGTTAAATTCATGTCCTAGAGCAGTTATAAATCTAATTACAGATGCTATGCTGATGCATCAAGGATGCAGTCCTCAGGCCTCTTGCATCCTGAAAAGGTCTGGTGTGTATATTTAATAATTTACTTTGATGTCGATAAATAAATGTACGAAAAATAGCCATAGGCATTATCAAATAACATAATAAATTAGCCTAGTACTTCTTTTTTTTACATTTATCAAAACTGCTAAAAGTTTAAAACTTTCATTAAGCTTTAGGCACTTTGTATTTAATATTCACCTTCTTGTTATTTACCTGCTCATGTTAACAGGTGCTGCATAATATCAGTACTTAAATAAGAGGCAGATGGTACTAAGTTGCACACATCAATATGTGATATACCAAAAAAAGCAAAGCACTATAACTATGATGCTAAAAACAATGTTAAAGAAAAATTATTCATTATTAGATATTATTTTTAAAACCTACAGATATCAGAAAAATGTGTATACATAGATTCCACTTACAGCATGTTTCAGATGATAAATTCAAAATATTTGTGTAAAAACACAACTCTGAACTGTGGTAATTATATTTGACATTAATCTACAACTTTAGATATAATAAAACAAATTATAAATTACATTCTCTTAAACTGAAGTATGCATCACACTTTGCTGTTTAAGTCATTCATAATTCAAGAAAAACTCAGTGACATACATCCAAAAATTCAGAATTAAAATATGAGAGTCTAGGGTACACAAAAATGAAAATTTTTATTACTTTCACTGACAAATTCCAGTAGTTCTGCTACAGATAAAAAAACTAATGCTGAAGAATTTCTTTAGCCTAACTAAAAGTGACTACCTATGATACAGAATGTTAGATAAATATGCATAATCAGAACACAATTATTAGTCACCAGGATGTAAAACGTTCATTAAGATTCATCCCAGTGATGCACATAAAACATTCAGTGGAAATTCTGGATTAATATAAGCATAAAACTGTGGAGCTATAACAATCAGGGAATCTGTGCAAAAGAGCATTAAAAAGAAAATTCATTTGGGAAAAATTACAACCTCTGATGAAGTGTAAATTAACATCTTAATGAAATTTAAGTGAGGTAACTTTTCTAAGCATAACAGCAGAGTATTTAAGAAAACTTACAATTGTAATGCTGCTCAAAATAATTAACTATATCAAAAACAAATTTGTGTAGTAAAACTACTACTTACTGTAGGGTACTTGGCTACGTCCCTGTAAAATTCTGTCCCAGGAATATGGCCCAAGATGGATGTTTTGGGGCTAAAGGTCAGAACAAAATTCTACTATTACTTTATGTTAAACCTCTGTTGTTTTTTAACCCATAATAAGATAATTATTATATTTTTAATGAGAAGTACTAACAGAAAACTCTTGTTTTAATAAATGTTTTTAGTAATCTTCTACAATCAGTGTAATGAATTATTACACAACTAAATCTCATGATCTGCACACTTGATGCAAGTTTAGCTGTGTAAATATGCAATAAATGATTTCAGCCTTTATGTGACTATCACTACAGGTCTTGGTGTTATCCTGACTTTATGCAAATATGAAATTGATGGTCTATATTCTATAACTAAAATAAATTGAGCAACTAACAGAAAAGTTTGGACTAACTTGCATATTTTGATTATATATTCAAAATCAAAGCCTATGACTATAAACCAACTAACTTTGAAAAAAATCAAAAATAAATTAGTCTTATAGCAACTTTCGCTTCTATGTCATTAAATTCTGTCCACTGTCAGCAAACTGGCTTAACATTTAGTATACAAGTAGAGCTCAGGGGCTTTCTTCGTAACCTTGAAATTCAATACAGAATAATCCAAGGTCTGTCCTTGACCTTACTCAGATACAAATAAACAATACAAGACTGAACTCTTGGTAACCATGATCTTCAATACAGAATAACCCAAGATCTGTGACTTGATAACCATGACCTTATTCATTTATGAGGAAACAATGCAACATTGAATTCTTTGTAATCCTGACCTTCAATGCAGAACATAAACCTAAAGTCCATCATTAGACCTCATTCATATAAAAAGAAACTGTTTAACAATACAACACTAAACTTTCTGTAACCTTGACCTTCATTCAGAAAATAAAAAGAAACCAGCATTTGTCACATGATCTCATAATGAAATATAAAAAATGAACTACCTATAACCTTGACCTTCAATATGTACTTGAATTTAAGGCCTTTTATTTACTATTTTACTTGAAAACAGATAAAATATAGTATTAAGCTGTCTGTAATCTTGACCTTATTAGATGAGCCTGATATAATTCCTTTGTTCATCCAAAATAATGAAGTACACAAGCAAACTCATATTTTTTTTTAGAATATTACAAACAAGCTGAAATACCCGTAAACCGACAGGGAATGTTTAAACTTAATTAAAACAATGTAAGTTTAACAGAAATCATATATTTCAAAGTAATACCTTGAACATAAACTTTATCTCAAAATATTAAAATTATAACAAAGATTCTTCATAAAAAACATTTGCAGTTTGCTTTCCATCTATCAACAAATAAAGATTTTGAGGTAATCCCACCCTTGAACACCCTACATCTCAATGACCATGAGAAAAGCATGGTTGTTTGAGAAACAATCCAGCAACTTTCATACTTTGACCTTGAATCCCTTTAGAACATTCAACATTGTCTAAAGTGTCAACTGATCAAGATTGTTTGAGATTGACTCAATAGGCTGGGAATAATTAACCAACAGGCTTTACAAAACAAATATAAGGTTAAGCTCAATTTTGACTCTTTTAGGACATCCCCATAGTGTTTACACACACATTTTTGTTGAGATTGGCCCAATAAGCTAGGAGGAGTTAGGGTGCAAATAAACACACATTTCATCTTTTTATTATATATATATATATATATACTTGCCAAATATATATTAGATATTAATTTTCTAGAGATTACAAATCAACCCTTTGCTATCTGTTTCATTATATTTGAGTCTTGATTTAATATAGCATGAAAGTGAAGGAAAACCTTTGGACTTACACTTGAGAACGATAAAGAACTGTAATTAAGGAGAAAACGATTCCAATAATGAGGCCATAATCCACATCTAATACAACTACAGCGAAGAAGGTAGCAAGCCACGTAAACTGAAATACATGAAAAATGTCATGATTTATAGAAATTGAGCAATTACATGGTTGAGTACATTATACATATAAAAAAAATTTAATAAGCATATGAGCAAGTTATGTGACAACCACAGCTGATATAAAGACGTGGTGCAATGGCATGAATTAGAACAACATCTTAACATTGTTTGGTATTCGTAGGCAATGTGATGTAAATTGATAATTTTTGGGATGGGCATGTAACAGCCCTTTCTAATGCAAAATTTTCATACATTCAAATCATAAAGATGTGTTGAGATGATGGATAGAAAACTTGCAAGATGGTGACATCCCTTATACTTAATGACACTGGAAAACAAGGAATATGAATCAACTTGAGGAATAATGAACATGCAGAAAGAGCCCTGACACAAGTCATACCACAGCTGTGGTAATCAGTGTGGCATTAAGAGATGAGAATCAACAAACACAAAGATCAGTGGAAAAAGTCATTCAACTGTCCCATGCAACAATATACAACATAGTTAAGAAGGATTTCCATCTGGAAAACCAACACAAGTTCCATATATACAAGTTGCTTTAACAATATATCAGTTACACCACTGCATACCTCAAGCAGTTGGAAAATAAAATGGGCATTCATGCTATTCCATGTGAAGATACATTGGTCATCAGATGCAGCACTTATAAATTTCTGTGCAACTTGTACACTATATGGATTATGGAAAGCTGCAGGGAGATGACTTTTGGAATGGAAAGTATGTACATGGCTATTATCAAGATTCACAATTGTCAGACATAGCATGGCTGGACATGGTTTCATGTACTGTAATGATGTGGTGATGCTCCAAAACTGTTTTAATATAATGTACTCAACCTCGGTATTACCACAGAGTAAAGTTCCACAGTCCTCCAAAATCAATAAATTAACCAACATTCTGTGACTGTAGGTATCATTAGATGCATTTTAACAGATAAACTATATATAGGTATCTATAACAACTTTTCTGAAGTAATATTCTGTTGCTTGTATTAAACACATTCTAACATGCCACTTCACTATACAAGACTGTAGGCAACTAATGATACAATAAACAATACAGAACGTTAATAGGTAAATATAAATGCATTTAACCCTACCATTATGGATTGGGTCGGTTCCACCAAGCTCGTAACCACAAAAGTATCCATGAGAGTAATTGTACTATGATTTTTGATAACGTGTGCACATCTTTACAAAATTTTGCAGATTATTGGTAAACATTACAAGATTTTCGTATATAAAATATCAGGTTTTTTTATTAAGCTTTTAGATTTCTAAAGTAACGTTTTTATTATGCCTTTTTTCTTTTTAAATGTTGGCTATCCAATGTGCAAAATAATTTATGAGTAAAAATACTTAGAACAGTAAATAAAGAAGTATAGTGTTCGTACTTGTTCGCTGCTTGCCATAGGTTGCTCAGCCTTATCAAATTTCGCATGTGGAGGATATGAAACGAAATATTTTTTTTCAGGTTTTATATATACATTTTTAAATAACAAAAATTCATAAATTACTATATAAATACCATAGAATTCCACTATAATTTATCAAGTTTAGTAACTAAGCTGTATTTTGGTCTAAAAAAATATGAAATTTCGAGCTCACTAAAATCTTACTTTATTGCTTGAAAAATGCTTATGAAAAGAAAGGAATTCCTGCATAAATACTTTGCAAAGTCTTAGAGAACCCTGTGTGAGACATTCTAAACTTTTGATTGGTTAATCACATGTCATAGACAGAAGTAGGTGTATGTAAGCGTTTCCAAAAATGGAAAGAGGTGGGTGGGGCCACTGTGTTTGATTCAGTAAATGTAATGATATCTCATCAAATAGAAAAGATAGGAGGTTCATATTTTAGATTCTAACTTGTCAATAACGGTAATTTGAGTTCCTAATTTGCAAGAAACTATAGACTTGTATATAACTGTGTATACAACTTATTACACTACTTTAACACATGTAGGTAACTAATGGTACAATCAACAAAACAAAAAGTTAATAGGTAAGTATAAATGCATTTAACAAAATTTAAACATATATGTATGTGTATGTGTGTGCATAACTGTGTATACAACTTATTACACTATTTTAACACATGCCGACTATACGTAACTAGGTATATTTTTAAACACACCAAAGATTACAGTTTGAAATTCAAATCAAATTCAGAAAATACAAGCAAAGTTTTGAAATGTAAATTTTTTTATTGGTAAATTTCCATCCAAAAACAGGTTAAAATGTTTTATGAATTCATTTGTAACTGAAACATTCCTTAAAATTAATCTGAAAAAGTGTTAATAATAACACTAAAACTGAAATAAAAAGCAAAAGAATATCTGTAGCTTAAGCATAGGAAGAGTATTTGCTTTTAACTAACCTATATATAGACCATCTTGATGGCAATTTCAATGAATGGCATAAAAAAAATCTAACTTTCAACTGGATTTAAACCATTTAGATAGAGTACAAGAAGTAAGTTATGCAAAAGAAACACTACACATATCATGCATTCAGTCAGATTTCTTGAAACAGCATCTGAAGCATCATCAAATGTGCACCACAGAAAAGGGATTTTAAGTATTATAGTTAACGTGTTTCAATTACAGCAAAACCTTTGTACTTTGCAAAATTGATTAAAATATTTATCTTTTTTCTATAATAATCAAATATAAGAAGATTGCTGAGAAAACTTCAAATTATTAGAGCTTATACTGTTCTTCAGATGGTATCCCCCAATGAATCTAGAACAGTATTGATAGCAGTTATTGAACTTGATAAATTTAATTGTCTCTAGGAGCTAATGATTACTGTCACAGAATAAAGGAAACATTTAGCCCATTATATAATACTTAATTGATTTGCATAAAATTGTGCTCCAATATAATCTAAATAAATTTCAGTATAAATATATATATATTGTTATGTATCTGCTTGTTTGATAATTTCCGGTAGAAAATCTTTCCGAGGAACTTCAGCGATACAAGTCCTTTCTTGATTAAACCAGTTTATTCTTCCTCGATACAAACTTTTAGTACACAGTAATTCCATAGTCAGTACGTTTCTCGTCACTTTAAACTTAACAGCTTTTATAATACATGCTATAAATCACAGCAATTCAAAATCTCGATAACTTTCCTCTCGACGAGTACAAAACACACACTTTATATTTCCGTAACTACTGTTCGCTTCTTTAATTATCTATCTAGCCTGCTGGCTTCTTTGCCAGGCTTACATACTAAAGAAGAGGGCGTTTCGAACACACTAGGACTCCCCCGAAAATTCATGATCATTCGAGAAACTCCTCGCTCACACCAGCAGCATCAATGCGCTAACAGTGTCACGTGACTTCCGCTGTCGTAACAATATATATATATATATTTCACATGTAAAATTATGGCTTCTAGTTCAATCACTCATGTTAATGAAAAATCAAGTTATTTATAAATCTGCTGCATAAAAAGGATATAAGTTTAGTAAATATGAGTTGTTGATTGATGAATTTGACACTGTACTATCATTTTGAAGTACAGAAACTTTAGAAATAATATTCTTCTGGATTAAAAAAAACTTATTTCAAATTCTGCAAACTACACAAGTAAATAACTAACAGTACATGTAACAGATCATTTAGTTGTATGATACCATAAAATAATTTTTTAATATTTTAGTTATAGGAGTCTCAAAAATCGTATTAAGTTTTATCAGAAATATGTTTGCATAGAAAATATATTCATGCATTAGAACTTTGACTTTTTCTTGCAATTTTTGTTAATTTTTTATTCACATTTCTTTATAATTTTTATTACAGCAGAAGTACCACCAAAACTTATCATGGGTCCTAAGTTTAGATATAAAGTGTAATGCATATCTGATATTCAAGGACATTGATTTTTAACAGGTAAAATATAAGTCCTACACATAACTGAAGATTTGAAAGTAAAAGTTTTACAAAAAAAATAAATCAAACACACACCAATGAAATGAAGATTGGAAACAGCTATGTAAATTACACAACAAATAACACAATCTTTACTGTATTCATTACACTAAAGTGTAGTAGCATTGCATTTTATGCACTTACTATGACTTCGGTGTTCAAGTATTACACTGGTGAGCTTTATAGTTCATACTTGTATGACTATTGGAACTGGTAGGAGAAAGACACTTTTGCTTGACTAGGGTTATAAAAATTGTGTGATACAAAATTTCTGCCAGATAAAATATCACCTTGGTTGAATCTTTTGTTACGCATGTCAGAGATCATATTCCTTTCAGATTCAGAAAAGATAATCTTCCTGCTAATAATAACCAATACAGATCCCAGCATTGCTTTAGTTTTGAGGCATAGCCCACATGTCAACCAAAAACTACTACAGAGTTACCTATGGTTGAAATCTGCCCAAAGAAGAGATCTGCTCTGTTTAAAAATTACATTCGTTATCATTATAATTGAATAAAAATGGCATCTATACTTACAGTATCCAGCTTGGAAGTCTTCCAAAGTTCTCTCAGTTCACCAATCTGCTTTAACAAGGACTTTATTGCTACCACAATAATAGCTGACAATACACACTGTAGAAGAGGAAAAAACTTAAACACTCTCCAAGCTGCTTAAACATTCTTTTCAAGGATATCAAATTAACTGTTGACAATACATACTGCAAAGTCAAAAAACAAAAAGAACTTTCCAAGTTGCTTAAATATTTTTCCTAAATTACAGAACACTGCAGTTACAAAGAAATTGTAAGTTAAGTATGAATTCAATCCTCTTTAGTATTAAGCTTATAAGTCTTCTCACAATAACTGATAATAATACATGCTACAAAAAATAAACTTTACTTCAAACATTGCCCAGTAACCCTGTAAATGTCTCTCCTGTAGTGATTACTGTACATAATTGACATGAAAGGAAAATTCTAAGACTTTTTTAATGTAAAGGCGACTACAGCTATAATCAAAGACTAACACTGTAATAATAATAATAATAAAGTAAATTCAATAAGAATCAATTAAATACAGTAAAATGTTGTAAGCTTATTAGCTGGTGGTAACAACTAGATCCAAGAAATGAAATATGGTAAAATATTTTAATCTTAAAAATAGATGGTAAGCAATAAGTCCAACACATGATATATGGTAAACAATAATAATATTTTATGTGGGGTAAAAAGTAAACAAGTGAAATACAATAAACAATTTAATCTTTTATCCAAGTAATAACCAATAAGTCTAACAGATTAAACACAAATTATTACAATTTATATGACATTGTTAGTAAGTATACCAGGCAAAATAATTGGACTGTTAAGTAACAGATTTAAGTCTTTAGCTTGTGCAGATGAGGATTTACGGGAAAAAAGAAAAACAAAAGTGCCAGAGAAAGATTAGTATGAAAAAACTTGAGGTTATAGTTCTAGGTGAACAAGACAGACTGTGGTGTAAATATGAAGAAAAGAATTAGATTATGCTATCTTGGGCAGGAGTGAAGGATATAATAAATTGAGTAAATGATATAGTAAATGGTGCTAGTTAGTGGTGATGCAGTCTTTGTAGTGCAAATTGTATACAGTATATACAGATTGTCACTACAGTTGCCAATACAATGTAGTTTATAATTCAAATTTTAACTTATGTTTTAATTTCTTAATTAGATAGAAAATATTTAAAAAAATGCCAAATAGGTTTTTTGTGTGTCATATGGCTTGTCTTGTCTTATTGCTCAGTTTATATTTTATTACACCTGTCATACAATGTCTACAATGGTTAACAAATTAAAACTCAAACTTCAGACATTTACAAGCTAAAATACAAAATAAGAGCCTACCACCTTTTTTTTTGATTTGCTGAAATACCAATACATTTTGCAAACCTACAAGGGTAGTACTGCTCACTTCTCCATTCTTTTGAAATCTCTTGCCTACTTCTCATAAGTACATGTTTATAATCAATAGAAAGAGCACATTTCAAGTTACATAAATCTGACAGTCATTTGTAATTGGCTTGAAAGGGAAACTTGTATTTGACTAGAAATGTTAAAGTCTGTTGAGTAAGTTGTTGCTCTCAATAGAAATGATACATCAGTGGGAAAGTAACATTTTTGTTCATTTTCCTCACATTTCAATAATCTCCCCTCAAAAAACATGATTGCAGGAAATCAACTAAGAAAATTGAATTTCCTTGCACTAAATACATTTTCCTCTATTTTCATGGCTACATGGTGGTTAAAAGGCTTGTCAAAATAACCAAGCCCATAGAAAGAGGGTTAACCAAGTTTCATTTAATCTCTGTTAAATCAAAATCATCCATTCTGATCAAAACTCTAAAGTCATCTGTTTTATTTCTTTTACCTCGAGCATTGTGATAGTAATAATTTCAGTACTTTCTTGCTACATCTCACTTTTCACAATATCTTATTTTGCTGCATTTAATGTATCCTGGCCCTCACTGCTGTCTATTCCAAGATTAATGCTACCTTTGCAGGTGAGTTAACAGCCCTTCCAAACACGCCAGCCTCAACCCTACTTAATTCTTTCACAACTGACTTAGTGAATTACACCATCCATGTGATCCCAAAGTAACCATCAAAGTTTCCATACTATAAATTTTAGCATGTTTTTTGTATCTCCACAAAATTTTTCAAGCTTTTAGTAAATTTTATAAGTCTTTTGTAGACAAAAAACTATGTATTTGTACTAAATATTTGTCCATGAATATATGGAATCAGAGTGTTGACTGCTCCAAGTGGTAAGTGATTTTTATGTTAAGATTAAAAATAGTTTTCTTCTTCTGAAATTTTTCAGATTTCATTTACATAATCTCTAAAACCTCCCAAGTAAATATCAAATGGTTTGTTTTTAAAGAAAAACTTTATATTTTGTCTGTTATTTTCTCTACCCTAACTCTATCTCATAATCAATATAAAACTGTAAAAGTTAAAAAATGCAAAATAAAGTGCATAGTACTATTTTATCTTCATTAGTATTGACCAGGAAGTTCCAAAGTACTTAACTTGAGAGTTTCTATTTCTAACCTTTTTACATCTATTTCCTATGTTCATTATGTTGTTAGCAGCTTAAATAGAAACCAAACAATCATAAAGCAATGAATTACCACTCCTATCATTAGACTTTTTATGTGACAAACACTTTAACGCAACAACGTTGGTAGCAAATAAGCTCATGTGGTGCAATTACCAGAATTTCCCACAAAGTTTATTGTAATCCTGGCTCCAAAAGTATAGTGAGAGAGAATTTATTGGCTGGTATACAATACAGTGGTTACAGCAAGAATTGTCTAAAGTTATAAAAGTGCGAGAAAATGTTTATGATATGGCTCTGTACTAAGTCTGGGTTGGTTGGTTGGTTGGTGTTTTATGGCGCAAAGCAGCTAGGCTATCTGCGCCAAACAACCGGTAAAAGCAATGAAAGTAGATTAAAGTAAAATGTAAAAAAACAGCGAGTTAAAAATCAATACATGTCGGTAAAGGATTTATATAGAATTAAAAAGACGTATAGTGTGTAAAAAATTAAAAACACAATCTAGTCGGATAGTGTCACGATTACCAATGACACTGTCCAGCGTCAGGGGTAAACTTTTAGAAAAAATGTGTCTAAAATGGTGCCGCCGCTCATGGTCGTAACGACGGCACAACAGTAAAATGTGGGCTATTGTGACTTGAGTGTCACAATGGCTACACATCGGTGGGTCAATACCTGATAAAAGAAAACGATGGGTTAAAAAACTATGACCAATGCGTAGCCTTGCCAGGAATACTTCCTCCTTCCAATCCTTACGGAAGCAAGACGGCCAAAGACCAACAGAAGGTTTGATCTGGAAAAGCTTGTTATGGCGTTGCTCACTCCAAGTTGACTGCCAACTGGCACGAAGCCGCGCCTTGAAGACAGGACCGTAGTCCATGTATGGGACAGGCACGGCCGTGATGGCACCAGAGCAGACGGGCTTAGCTGCGGTGTCAGTGAGCTCGTTCCCGTGAATACCGACGTGGCCAGGAATCCAGAAAAACTGAATGGAAATAGAAGATAGAGAAAAGTGGGCCAATCGGTGTTGAATATCGACGAGAACAGGGTGAGAACTAACGTTAAGCGATTCCAGGGCCAGTAGAGAGCTAAGAGAATCAGTGTAAATAGTACAGTTACTGTACTGCATAGCTTCTACATGATCCAGGGCAAGAGAAATAGCATATAACTCAGCAGTGAACACAGAAACTGTAGAGGGGATCCTGCGAGCAACTACCGAGCCACAGCAAACCATGGCAGAACCTACAGAGTCACCTGATTTCGAACCATCCGTGTAAATGGGAAGAGAGGAATGGTCCAAAAGATGTTCAGCAAAGAGAAGATGGTACTTCCAATCGGGAGTATCCACCTTCCCCAGATGACTGAAGGAAAGGTCACAGGATGGGATGATAATAAGCCATGGTCGAATGAGCTGATCATTGGGGACAGGAATGTCATCCAATGCCAGACCCAATTCAGCCAGTAATGCCCGGATACGAAGGCTAAATGGAGGAATAGCATGCCGTCTGTTTTGAAAGAGCATTGCCCTCCGAGGAAGAAAAACACAGTCCCAGGTGGGATGCCGTGGTAATGATCGAAG